TACACTGAAGGTCATAAATCCCTTCCCTGCAGCTGACACCAATTTGTAGCAATTGAATGTGATGGATAAGAGAAGTTACTATTGGATTGAATTGCATTGTGCCGATAAATTATATTCTGTATTAGTGATACAAAGTTTCAGGAGATTGTCAATCCCTGTTTCACAGCTGGAGAATTCTGTCTCTAGTTGTGAATTTGATCACAGCATGCCCTAACAGTGATATAACATCCCCAACAACTGCAGCACAACCAAAGCTTCCCAGTATCTATGTCACCATGAAGATCTACATAGCAACACACGGCTCATTTCTTGGGATCCATGCCATCAATGAGATCCACACTTTACCACACACAGCCAGGGGCGGACTGACCAATTGGAAACCCAGGCACTGCCCAAGGGCCCAGGGTCAGTAGGGGGCCCCATGAGATGCCCCTGGTACCTTTTTTATAGGCTTTTTTGAGTTTGGGCAAGGACAAAGGGGCCCCATGATCCCCTATTGCCCGGGGGCCCCATGAGTTGTCAGTCCGCCCCTGCACACAGCTTATTCCCTGACCAGTTCACAGTACCCAGGCCATTGATAGATCAACACTTCAGCACAAAGCTTACGCCACACTAACCATGAACCCTTTGGTACACAGAGCCCACTAGCTAGTATTCATAACAGCAGTGCACATGCATTAAACTCTTAGTGATCTGTGTCCAATATACTATAAATCCATTAACCTCGCAGCAACCACTCTCTGCATTGCCCTACTCTGGAACCAGTTTACGATGACTGTTCTCCAGCATATGTGCATTATCTTGTTAATCATTCATCTCTAACGTATACCTGTAAACACACCAGTGACCAGTGTAGAGAGCATGTGCATTGATCTTTTTGGGTAACCTTTCCAGAGTATCATTAACCAGTTCCAGAATATATGCATTAATCCACATGGTGACCAGTCTCCAGTGTGCATCAACATCCTAGGGATCAGTCTCTTGAAATGTTTGGCTCCTGTTGCCCTTATTACCATAACCTGACTGGCTATCCTATTTCATTTTTCCTATTTTCCCCTTCTACGGCATATATTTCTGTAATTTACTGAACAGCAAACATTTAATTTGCCCATATACTGCACACTACGTAGATTTATATTGTAGTCTACTTTATTTTCTGTGCAACAGACTGCACACATATTGCATATATCCATATAAAATAACACCAGAATCCTATAATGTGACATATTATACATAAGGGATTTACTACAGAATTACAGAGACTGTACTGTATGCCTTAAAATGTCAGTGTTGACTTAAAGTGTTACTAAACCCAGGATAGTGCATTCACTATATCTGGTCTCCCACAGTACACAGAACATGGAAATGCAATTATTTTAGTAAATATAAACTGCTAAATACCTTTTCTCATCAGCAGCTAGAGCAGTCTTGTGACTTCTATAAGTGACCAGCTGGGCACTGGTTAAAGCTTGTAGGAGCAGCTTTCACTCACTCTCTCTTGATTGTCCTATGAGGCTGTAGGACCCCTCTGTATGGACAGCACTGATTGGCCCTGTGCTGATCACATCTCCAAAGAAAAAAACAAAACTCTCTAGCAATGCACACCAAACTGAGCATCTGCAACTTGCCCCCAAGGCTCTGTACTATCAGCATATGGATTGGGGACAGTAGAAGAAGGGAAGGATCAGAGAAGACAGGATCAAAAAGCCTTTTTACAAAATGCAGAGGATTAACCCCTTAGGTTTCACAGTGAGTATAACAAGCATGCTTTACTGCATATACAGACTGATTTTACTGTTTTGGGTTTAGTAACACTTTAAGGCAGTAACTGAACAACCAAAATATAAAATGGGATGGTAACTGCATTTTGGCAACCAGGTATCTTTCACTTCCGGATGAATGTTGGATATTGATGGTACAGACGATGAGGTAGGTGGGTAAACTCAGGAGCATTATATAGCCCTTTTTAATTTAGGTGGTGTACAAACAGTTTATGTGTATGTGTGTACGGTGTGTGTGTATATATATCTACGTAACTAGGTGTGTCCCCCAAAATACCAACATAGACAAAGTACATTAAAGAGAAATTGTTTCCGCAAAGACGCTATTTATTTGCTCCAATGACAAAATTATCCAGCAACTTCAGCCATTCTGAAGTGGAAATTGAGCTTTGTCCGTGCTCAGGTCCTAGATGGCTTCCATATTTAAAACACATGAAATATTTAAGAGCTCTAACCACATATCTAAAAAACTGGAATTCCTAGTTCGCATATCATGCAACACATTTTCAAGTTGGCCAACTGCATCAAAGTGATCCTTCTCTGGCCAGTCCCTACTCTTCCTTTCAGATTGCCAAACCCTTATGACCTAAGCAGCATACTCTTAAAGGATAGGTCTACCTTTTTATAAAAAAAAAAATACACATTTTTTTGCAGGTAAAAAAAAAAGTGAATTTACAATTTTTTTGTTTAGGAGCCTGGAAGCATTGCACCAGCGATCAGCAGATTGCTGGTGCCATGCAGGACTCCTGCAGACCTGTCAGTGTATCTGTGTGCTTGTACCCCGTACAAGCAAGCAGATACACACTGGCCGGAAGAATCAATGAACCAGCTTATTGAGAACTATTATTTATTGAGCTGATAGCCACTGAGACTTGTATTCTTCCCATTCACAGAACACAGTGAATGGATGATGTGGCCAGGCAGGCGGAGCCCTGCACGACCACGGTTTTTAAAAGAATTTGACAGCTAGTGGAGGGAGAAGATCCCCTGACTTGTCCTTTCTTAATATGTTACACGTTACACCCTGAATATGTTATGAAAGGTGAACTTATCCTTTAATACTCCATGAGCAACAGGAACAAATTATTATGCCCTCTGTGATGTAACTCCTATATATTATATAATATAGTTTTAGTGTATCTCTCCTGGCATCAATACTTTGAGGCACAGACGAAGAAGAAACATTCAGATATGATGTTTTTATTTCATTATGACTGCAAAGTATTGAAATACGGGACAGCCAGACAAATGGCATTTTAAGAATGAGGTCACGTATTTAAATGTTAAAATAATTTCTTTACTGAAGTGTTGTGCTTACAGTTCTCATTTAAATCCCAGGTGTATGGAAGAGATGCCTGTACAATTTATGGTGAGGGCAATAGAAGAGTTAAGTAGAAGATTAAATGAATAATTCATTTACACAAACTGATTATATGGGCTCAAATTGCCTCTAAATAAAGCAACAACATTCTAATATTTTTTTTCCCTGCTGCTCTTCTGGTACAGCAATTTTTTACATTGTACAGCATTAAAAAAAACTAAAATACATTCACAGTTAATGGAACATTTTTACCTACTCTGCAATTTAATTTGGCAGTACACGTTTAAAGCTCGCAAATAACCAATGCTTTGCATGGAAATAAGATTTTAACTGTTCGTATTTTACAATAAATTACACTTTATGGTGTATCCTCTCTCATAACTTTAGGCCAGTGTTTCTCAACCTTTTTTCAATCAAGGCACCCTTTAAATTATGGACAATCTCAAGGCACCCTTTAACATTCTACATAATCTCAAGGCACTCCATTCTAAAATGTAAAAAACTATTCTAATAGTTTTACATAATGCAGCAACATTCACACGCATAGGACACCCAACATTAGAGGTGATTTGTTCTTCCAAAGTAAATATTCCTTTCCAAACTGGTACTGACTAGTATTCCACGGTTTCTCCCTCAGTTTCTCTCCCTCACACGTTAATGTGACCCCACTGCTGAAGGAGAGGGGCAAACAAGGACGTTGTGCAGGTGCCCTACTTCGTCCTTATCAACTAATGATGTAATTTGTTGTTAGGGTGTTGGCAGCTGGCAAGTTGTAAAGGTGTAACTTTGTGTAACTAAAAAGGCAAGCTTGATCCACCGGCTCACTTGTATACAAGTTTTGGGCAGTTTTTAAGCATTTTACCAAGGCACCCCTGAAAAAGCCTGAAGGTACCCTATGGTGCCTGGGCACCAGGAGCGTATTTACCACAAGGCAAACAAGGCACTTGCCTAGGGCGGCATTATTTTAGGGGGGCAGCACCTCCTCCTAGAAGATGGGATAAAAGAAGGGATACGTGCCCCATGGGAACCAGGTGGGATCTGAGAGAGGCTGCGGGCTGCTTGATGGTGTATGTAGAGCCCGACTCTCATTCCCGGGGATGTCGGAGCTGTGAAGATGAGTGTCTTTCTCTCCATCACTGGGGGGGGGGGCATTCCATAGAGCTTAGACCTTAGGCAAAACTTTTCCTAAAACAATAGGTTCTTTACCTCTTTGGTATAGAATTTTAATACAAGTTTTTTGTTTAATGGCAATGCAAGCCACATACTTTCTATTCCTATGAATATCTTTGTAAAGAGTGCAGCTTCATAACAACTATGGTTCAAGCAAGTGAGACAAAACAGAGTTCTTCCTCTCCTGAGGGATGTTAGTAAGTCTGTATCAGGCCATATAATTAAAGCGGATGTTCACTCAGAAGTAAAAGTGTCCCTATTCCTCCACCCATCCTTCAGCCTCAACACCTTTTATTTTTTTTTTTTACAGGGAGCAGATACCTTTTCTGACAGGTACCGGCTTCTACTTTCTCAATTCTTATCTAGGTGAAAATTACATTGTGTTTGGGCCCACCCCCTGCTGGCTGCATTCTGGGACACATCACACATCCCAGATGGCTGCAGAACTAGTACCACAGCGCCACAACTTCATGCGCATATGCAGAAACTGATTGGTTGCCTTTCAGGGCTGCTGCAGATTCTGGATGCTCCGGATTTAATAAATTCCCCTCAAAGTATAGCTAAATCCATCACCAAATTAAAAGAATTAGAAAAATGTAATCTAATACATAATCTCCTTAAATACTTTTTGTTTTGGTTAGAGTGGAGATGGATTAGAACCCCTGTCAGGTCTTTATTGCTGTCTGTGCTCCCGTTAGGGAAATTCACCATCTCTATTTGTTACTGAGAATGAAAGTGAAAGAAAATCCCGAATTTTGGGTTGTCGTCCAAACAGGATACTTGGGGGCACTAGCTCTGGTGATTCTGCTGACAACCAGAGATTCCCTCTCTTTGGATAGATTTCCTCTTCCTGTTTTAGCTATGAGACAGGAAGTGAAAGAAAATCCCCCAAATAGGGCACAGGTAGCAAAAAGGGGGTAATAGCTCTAAAGGCTAAGATTACCTTTATCAACAGGTTACATGTTGCAACCATATTTAGGGTGTAACATGTTGAGCATCTAGCTCAATTTGAAACAGTGTGGCCCTACGGGGCTCCGCCCACATGGCCGTGTCATTCATTCACAGAGTTCTGTGAACATATGCCTACAAGTACCATCAGCCTTTGGTGCTGACGGCTTGTAGTTCTCAATGAACTGTGGGGGCGCTGGTGAGCGCTCTCATAGTTCATTGAGCTTCCTGGACTTCAGTAACTGCCTTCCCATATGGGAAGTACAGGCAGACAGTGTACTGAGAGTCTGCAAAAGCCTACTGATCGTGGGTGTAATGTTTTACAGGCTCTCAAGAAAAAAAATAATAAAAGCACATTTTTTACCTGCAAAAAAAGTGCATGTATTTTTTTCTTTTTAAAGTGGACTTATCCTTTAAAGTGTTACTAAACCCACAAGAGGAAAATCAGTCTGTATATGCAGTAAAGCATGCTTGTTATACTCACTGTGCAACCTAAGGGGTTAATCTTCTGCATCGTGTAAAAAGGATATTTGATCCTTTCTTCTCTGATCCCCCCCTTCTTCCACAATGCCCAATCCATCTGGTGATAGTACAGAGCCCTAGGAGGCACTCTGCACATGCTCAGCTTAATGTGTACTGCTAGAGAGGTTTTTTTGGGACTGCTTAGAAAGAGAGTCAGGGGTCATGCAGCCTCACAGGACAGTCAAAGGAGAATGAAAGCTCCTCCCACAAGCTTTAACCAGTGCTTAGCCAGACACTGATAGAAGACACAAGACTGATATACACTGCTGATGAGAAAAGGAATTTAGCAGTATATATTTACTAAAATAATTGCATTTCCATGTTCTATGGGAAACAAGATATAGTGAATGCAGGGTCCTAACATTTTAAAGGATAAGTTCACCTTTTAACAAAAAATAATAAATGCACATTTTTTGCAGGTAAAAAAATGTGCATTTATTATTTTTTGTTTCAGAAGCCTCTCTAAAGCATTGCACCAGCAATCGGAGGTTCGCTGGTGCCATGCAGATCTCCCCCTGACTTGTCAGTATATCTGCTTGCTCGCACATTCCATACCGCAAGCAGATATTTACTGAAAGGAAAGCTCAATGAACTACCATGGCACTGTGCAGCCCTGTAGAACGCTGTGGCAGTTCATTGAAAACTACAAGCAGACAGCCACAAAGGCTCTCTGTGACGTGGCTGGGTGGGTGCAGCCCCGCATGGCAGTGTTTTTTAAATATTGTTACAGCAAGTGGGGAGGAGAAGATCCCCTGTTAGTCGTCACAAGGAGGATAGAGTCAGATCGTAACATGTTACAGTCTGAAAATGGGGGTCAGATCATACCATGTTACATTCTGAAAATGGGGGTCAGATCGTAACATGTTACATTCTGAATATAGGTGTAACATTTAACATGGGCAGCACAGTGGCTCAGTGGTTAGCACTTCCGCCTGGCAGTACTAGGGTTGTTGGTTCAAATCCTGGCCATGGCACCACCTGCCTGGAGTTTGCATGTTCTCCCTGTGCCTGCATGAGCTTCCTCCAGGTACTCCGGTTTCCTCCCACACTCCAAAAGACAACTGGATCCTGTCTAAATTGGTCCTAGTATGTGTATGTATGAAATAAGTTAGGGACCTTAGATTGTACACCCCTTGAGGGTTAGGTGCTTATGTGAATGTACAATATATATGTAAAGCGCTGCATAAATTGATGGCGCTATATAAGTACCTGAAATAAATATACATGTTACAAAAGGTGAACTTCTCCTTTAAGTACTCTATCCAAAATTAATAAAAAAAGTTTTACCTTTAGTTCTGTTTTAAATGTACTGTTTGTCAGATCATAGTCCATGTGTCAGGATCTTCTGCTTTCATTTCTTGGCTGTGACACAGGCAGGGTAGGCACAGGCTTGCTCTTCCAAGTTCACTGCTAATGCACATGCACTATAACCCCCAGGAACTACTGGCAATCTGGCAAACCGTACAGTAAAGTACAGTATAGTAGTAGTTTAGTAGGTAGAAACATTTTGCTATCTGTATGCGCATCTTGTAGTCCTCAGTGGGAGGGCACATCTTAGGATGACAACGCTTCCGAAGCAGGAGCAGTGTTGTCACCCCAAGACAGGAAGTGGAGTCTATTACTGGCAGAATCTCCAGTTTTGGAAAAAAGAGAATGAAGAAAAAAAAAAGAACAATGCCAGCAATACAACTATAACATCTACTAGTTAACTACACCGAACCCCTAAAATCTAACATTGTCCTAACCCCCTAAATGAAGCACTAACACCAATTAACCCCAATTCTTCAGCATATTCACCTTGTTCTGCACCGAAAGTCTCAGCACAGACAGCATGTAGGTCCCGTGCCACAATATTGCACAGCCGAGATCCCGGAAGCAGAAGAAATGGCTTTGAATCTTTTCCTAGACAGCTGAAAGTCACAGCTTCCATCTGCCTTAGGCACGTACAGCTTATTAAATGTTCTGTACGTTCTGTTTGTTCTATAATAGCTACTTTTCATCAGTTCGGAGTCTCTCACATATCCCTACGTCAAAAACTTTTACAGCTCTGGTTTATTTTATACACATTTTAAGAGAAGACAAAATAAATACCTCGGGAGAACTTAACCACTCTAATAGACTATTTTTTTATATGTACAGAGTGCTAAAATAAATCTATTGTTATTTTCCCCAAACCTATGAATTGTGCTCCCCGGGGACACTCCACTTGGATGTAGAGAACATTTTTTAGCTTTTGTAAGAAACAGAAGGGCAATCTACTGCGTTATGGAATGTAACCACATTGCATGTTAAAGCAAGATAGCCGTAAAATAATTTTTCAAATCCTCAAGTAAAGCGTAACTCTAGGCAAACAGCTAAATACACATGAGTAATTTTGTTCCTAACTGCCATCCACACGCCATTACTGAGAAGTCCATTTTAGAGTTTTCTGGTCCAACCTTTCTGTGTTGAATCCCTGCTCATTGTACAGATGTGATGATGCCAATTTGTTGTCCAGGGAGCAGACTGGAGAGTAATTAGTGACTTGGGAAGCTGCCTTGCTTAACCAGAAAATAGATGTGTCAAGTGCCTGGTTTCACAGTGTACAAGAGGTGTGTGAATCACAGAACTGGCTGAGCAGAATTACATATACTTTAGGTGCGCATAGAAGTATTCTACGTGTCTGAGTTCCACTTTAACCACTTGACCCCAGGACAATTCTGACACTTCTCACATACTGTACATATACAAGTCAGCATTTACCCAAAAATTACTTAACCCCCAAACATTATAGATTTTTGGAAAGCATAGACCAGGGAGAATAAATGATGGTTGTTTAAATTTTTTATGTTGCACGATATTTGTGCTGATATTTTTAAAAAGTAAATTTTCAGGACAAAAGAACACTTTAATTTTAGTGCACACAAACACAATATAATACAGAATATAATTTTTTTGTAAATATTAAAGATGTTATGTCGATTAAATAGATACCCAACATGTCACATTTTAAAATCTGCTTATGTCTATGGAAAGGCAACAAAGTATGGTACTTGAAAATCTCCACAGGGGATGCTTTAAAAGCCTATAAAGTTTACCAGTTTACAGTTAAACAGGTGGTCTGGCACTAAAATTATTGCTCTCACTCTAACATTAGTGGTAATCAGGGGCGGACTGACCATTTGGAAACTCGGGCACTGCCCGAGGGCCCAGGGTCAGTAGGGGGCCCCATGAGATGCCTCTGGTACTTTTTCATAGGCTTTTTTGAGTTTGGGCAAGGACACAGGGGCCCCATGATCCCCTATTGCCCGGGGGCCCCATGAGTTGTCAGTCCGCCCCTGGTGGTAATATCTCATGTGTTGTGCGATCACAGTTTACATATGTGTGTGGGAATTCAATATGTGTTTGCATTTGTGCAATACCATGGGGGTTGGATGCTTGGGGTGCTTTACAATTTTTTTTTATTACTTACTTTATTTAAAACTTTTTATCAAAACTGTCTTTTTTTATCATTTATCTTTTGTATTGCTATCACAAGGTGTCAACACCATCCTGTTTGATCCGATGCTTTACAATATGGTAATGGCTTGTAAACATCAAATGGAAACCAGAAGTGGCTAAATCCTTGTCGCTTCTGCTTTTCTACATCACAGATGGAGGTGGGTACTAGGAACCATCTTTCCCTCTCATTTCACAACTGCACCAAGAGGCAATGGTACCGGGATCCCCAATCGCACAGGAGAGCCCGTAAAAGTGGCAGGAGGGGAAGACCCTCTTTTGTGCCCTGTAGAAGTGATTGAGCGGCTGTAGATATAAGATGCCTGATATGAACCAAAAGCCACATATGGACTTAACAAAGCAGTAAAACAAGCCCTGGTGTGCAGGGCTTTGCAAATTTACCCCTTGTCAGTTTAGTTCAATGTTGCATAAAGTATGGGATTAGAAGCATCAGTGATACTAATTCTCTCTATGGGCAACATCCATCAAGGCTTCCCGTGCAGAACAGATTTCCGGGTGAATATTCTTACTCTAATGATAGCTATCAGTTATCCACACTAAAAGAAGCATGTTGATTTCACCCATGAATTAAAATCTCTCAATGTAAAGGCTCAGTTAACTCTTTGATAAGTAGTTTCTTTGGACAGTGTGTAAATATATTGACAAGATGTGAGCTGTGACAGCTAGTAGCATTCCACCTACATTATAGCCAGAACTGAACTAAGATGGAAAACACTTAAGCTGGATAAATATTCCGCCCAGCTTTTAAGAACAAGTCTAAGTTTAGCATGATAATGGCTGTGAGGCCAATACAGTTAGGTATTGGCCCCACAATGTTAAGGGCTGGATTTACATTTCCTTACCACCAATTGTTCTGTGTCTGCCTCTCCTAACTCATACCTGATTAGTACAAATCTAAGAGGTTCAGATGTTATAGCCACAAAAGA